CACAGGTTGAACAACTGGGAGATAAAGTTAGGGAGGCCAGACTGAGATGGTTTGGACATGTCAAGAGGAGGGACCGTGGGTATATTGGTAAAAAGATGTTAGAAATGCAGCTGCCAGGAAAAAGACAAAGAAGAAGGCCAAAGAGGAGATATATGGATGCGGTTAGAGAGGACATGAAGGTAGTTAAAGTGAGAACAGAGGATGCAGAGGACAGAGTGAGGTGGAGGAGGATGACTCGCTATGGCGACCCCTGAAGAGGGAAAAGCCAAAAGAAGAAGAAGATGTCTGTTTTTTGACGTGATTCTCTTCCCTCAGTTTTCAATTTCATCAAATCATAAATCAGAACATTCAGCTCTTTTAGGACAATCCAGCTATGACTTTTAGCAGCTTTAGCTTTTTGAAATATTTAGCCTTTTCTGCCGTTTTTTTCTCATAGAAATTGAATTCAGCTCATTTTACTTCCTGCAGATCTTTAGATCTGTTTACAACCTTTTACTGCTCCTTACACATTTTGTTCTGCTTCAGCTGCTTTCAGCTTCCTTGTGCAGATTTAAACATTTTTCAGCTACTTTCAGCTGTTTTTCAGCTGTTTAGTGCACCTTTCAGATTCTTTCTGCTAACTACTACATTTTTGTGCTGCTTCTAACTTCTTTATGCTAATTTCAGCTTGTTGTGCTTCTTTCAAAATTTTCTGCTAGTTTCATCTTTTTCTGATCTTTCAGCTACTATTTAGCAGTTTTTATGCTAATTTTAGCTTTTTCAGCTAATTCCACATTATTTTAGCTAATTTCAGCTCTTTCCACATCCTTCTGGTAGTTTTCAGCTACTTTTTTTTTTTTTTTTACTAATTTCATCTTTTGTTTTTTAGCTATCTTCATATTTTTTTCTGTTTTTTTCTGTTTATTTAAACCTTATTCATCAAATATGTGTTCTTTCTGCCTTATGCTAATTTGGGCTTATTCTTCATTTCAGCTATATTTCAGCATTTATTTATTTATTTTAGTTAATTTCAGCTGCTTTTCAACAAGTTCTTCTGCAATAAACATTCACACTGCATTTTTGCAGGAAGTGCATTTTTATGTTGCATGTTACTGAAGTAGGACCCCTGAAACTGTGTTGTAGATTTTAAGTCATTATTGTCTGTCTGTGAATTCATTCCTGCGTTGACTTCTGTTTTATTTATTTGTGTGTATTTTTTGCAGAGTTTGGAGAAAGTGGATGAGCAGGTTCAGCGAGTGGGAGTCACGGCCAGTAAAATCCCAGGTGATGTCCAGGACAGGGCTGAGCAGCTGGGCGTCGACCTGGCCACCTTACTGCTGAGTAAAGGAGCCAAGGACATTTTGACGGTGGCTCGGCAACTCAACGACGCCAGATAATCTGAGAGAGAAGGGGCTCCAGGCCATCGCAGCCATGTTTAAGTGTCAATCTTTGTTTCCAGTGTGTGATTCTCAGCTGATCTAGAGCTGATTAAAACAATCAACATGTTGCACCAGATGAGAATTTCAAACTCTACTTGGTAAGTGTAAAGTGATGCTCAGATGTGGGTTTGTTGGGAGCCCCTCCTGTCTGTGCCTCTCAGTTTCTGTACTCAGTCTGCTGGACCACACAAAGAACTGCTCTGACGTTTTCAGGGAGGAACACAAAAATTGCCTTCTGACTATTGTCAGCACACATCATCATGATCACACTAATGGCATAAATAAAGATGCACAAAGTCTTGATTTTCTCCCGTTGTTCAAACATGAAGCTCAAATGTCTGTTTTGGGTGTAAACGTGGTTTTGGAACCAGAGACGGAGCTCTTGGAGCTTTTCTTTCCCTAAGAAAGTTCTGCCTACAACTTACCAGCAGGCTTCGACCCTGTCAATCACTGATAACTTGAATCTTAAAGGTGCAGGACTTCAAAAGTACTGCAGCCAGCCTGGGGGGGAGGGGGGAGGGGGGGGTGTCAGTAGTTCTTTGTAACGTACAGTTATTGTAATACACCTCAATGGGTCTGATGTGGTGAGATGAAAAGTGGAACACCACTAAATTTAGCTGCTGCTGTTCATTTTCTTTCTGACCACTTCGTTCTTTACGGTTAGCCATAGCGAGCTAACAGACTTGTGCGAGTTAGCTTTGTGCAAGCTATCTCATGAAGATTTTGCATTTCTTTTTACATCAGATGTCCTTCCTGACGCAACCACAGACCACCGAGCTACCACAGCCCTCTGTGTGGAGCAGAGAGCTGCTATCTAGGGTGCCTGGGAAAGCAGCTGGGGGAAGGGTGTGTGTGTGTGTGTGTTAAGGGCCTTGCTCAAGGGCCCAGAGGGGCAAATCCGGTTACAGGCAGGACGGCACCTGGAGAGCTGGTGCAGGAAGAACAACCTTCACATCAATGTGAAGAAGAAGGAGATGGTCGTGGACTTCAGAAGAAACAAACACACCTACCCAACAAACATGTTTAGTGTTTATCTTAGATCCTTGTACACAGTTTCTTTTTATACTTTATATTTTTGCTATTTTGGGGTGTAACTGGGACCTTGAGTACACAATTTCATTCCACCTCATGTACCACGTGATGAGAACGTTGAAATGAGGGTGGAGTCGACCTTTTCCAGTCACAGGTCCAGCTTCTCTAAACTCTGCGCCACCACTCCCCATGTATCTTATTGATAAATTGATAAATATACAATAGTCACAATATTAGGAGAGTATTTAGAGTAGGTGAGCCATTGATTGGAAGGTTGCTGGCTCAAATCCCAACTTGCATCAAAATGTGTTTGGGAAAAGGTGAAGCACTTTATTTCCCCCCACTCTGGGCCCTTGAGCAAGGCCCTTAACCCCAGGCACCCTAGATAGCAGCTCTCTGCTCCACACAGAGGGAGGGCTGTGGTAGCTCGGTGTCTGGTTGCGTCAGGAAGGGCAGCCGGCGTGAAAACAATGATCAAGTCTTTGTGCGTGTTAGTTCACTGTGGTGACCCCTGAAGAAGAGAGCACTCCGAAAGAAGAAAAACATACAAATGAAAGAAACCCAAGAATCATTAACTGAATGATAACTAACCATTGCCATTAGAAAACTTATTTTGATGTTCTTAAACTGATTAAAAGGCTCATTTTGAGGTTTATTACAAGTGAGACTACTGTCACATGAGACTTCATCAGCTGTAAAGGTCAAAGAATATAAAACTATTATAGATCTAATTTAGCATCAGGCTTCAGTTTCCAGCTATGAAAGTTTGCTGCAATTTTTTTAAAGGTGTACTTTTACTCGTCACACAGGGTGTTTCCCTCTGTCTGAGTCAGAGCGTCTTATTGCTGCTGAAATCTGCACAACTTTGCTCTGAACCCTGAACTTTTAATGCTTCATGCAGAAAGCCCTCGCTGGATGCACATCTACAACTGATTCACCTCTGAAGTGAACCTCAGTCAAGATGGCTGCCACAGCCACTGACCTACAGACAAAACAAAAGTTATTACGGTAGTTTTGAAGAGATAGACCTTAAATTTAGTGTGGGAGTTGCCATTAATTCTCTGGATTCAACCCTATCAGCAAAATATTTCATGAAACACTAATTTTAATGAAAATTCCTGATAATGTACTTCTATAAATTAAAAACATAAGGAACAAATTCAAGATGGCTGCCGCAAACAACAAACTAGAAGACATAAGAATGACTACAAGTCAATCAGTTTTCCAGATACTGAACTAAAGTTTAACGTGGAGGTACCTGAAGGTCACGTTGTACCATGTCGCATGAGATTGTGCAAATGTTTATTTTAGAGGTGACTATGAAAACGACAGAGCTCACTCCTCAGCATGAGGTGATCTTGGTCTAAAACTCTGGCCTGAAAGACGGAGGGTGATGTGCATCCCTTCAAGGAATATCAGGCCTTTAATTCTAAGGATGCAACATTGCCTTTTTTAATCAGCATAAATATTAAAGTGTAAAACAGGATATTAGATGACTCCAAAATGGCTTGTAGAACCAACAACATGTAGTGTTATTGAAAACATTGGGGCCTAAATCTGTGGTAGTAAAAAACTAAATGATGGTCGGAGAACTCAGCTTTAAAGTAAAAGTCTTCCAGATAAAAGGACGTGTTTTTGTGGTGTTCCCACTTCAGACCAGGTGTAAATACTGAAAACATGAGGTTTGTACAGAGTGGACCTGCACACTGTTCATGCTTCTTAACCCAAGCCCAAATCACTTGGACTGATAGCTGATGATGTTTGGGATGTCTGCAGGTCATACTTGATTTTCTAAACATGTTGCATTAAACATGCAACCTAATTCTGCCAATTACTTCTAAATAGAACAGATTTATTTTCTGAAAATACTGAAAGCATTGTTGTTTTCTTGTGAAATATTAGTTTTCTACCAGATTACTGGTTTTCACATTTATCAGACATTTTAATTCTGAGCTCACAACTGACCATGAAGAAGTTAATGCTGTGATGTCATTCTGAACATGCTGTCCTCCATAACAGTTCATTTCAGTTTACCACTGGAACAAATTGTATTTATTTGTAGATCAAGGTGAGATGTGCCTTACAGACAGTATTGTCTGGTTTGTCTAATAAAGCCCAGTCTGTCTATTTGCTGCATTAGTTCAGTTCATGTAATACATTTTTTATATATCCTTCTTTTATATTTTGTTTTAAGTTTAAACCTCCAAAATCAAAGTAAGTTCATCTTAAAGGTATGTTTGTTTTTCAGCTTTAATTTCTATTTTATTAAACAAAAAAAATTCTCTGTTATAACTTTGTTCAATAAGAATAATGTATTTCTTCTCAAATGTGTCAAATTAAATCACCAGTTAACTACATTTATCAATAAAGCTTTGTGCGTTAACTTGTCCAGTTGATGGATTTTGTTCATGAAAAGAAGTTTAAATAAAACGCCACTGATTTTCCAGATATAAACACCTTCACTGCAATCTTGGACACACTTCTGTTTAATTGAGTAATCTGAGAAAAAGAATCCAAACGTCTTCACTGGCCTGTAGTGCGAGACAAATGGTCAGGCTCATGCTTCTGCTCAGCTGATCAACTCGGACGATGAATATTCACACAGTCTCTAAGTAAAACAGGAAACTTTCTTGGTGCTTCCTGTGTTTTGATTATGTTGGACAGGAATGCACACTGAGCAAAGCTTTTTTTGTTTTGGGAACACCAGCTGTTCTACTGGAGAGAAACCAGCAGACTGGGGAAAAAGGAAACTATTTCTAAAGTTCCCTTTAACTAAACTAACAAGACATACAAGTCTTGAATGTGCTAAGAGACAAATGCTCAATTTCTATTTTTCTTTGCGTTTATATAAATGTTTTCACTTTGATTCTTTTCTTGATTAAAAATGTTACTTTGCTTTCCAGAAGTTTCTTACAATGAAAATATTAGATGAGAAAAAATGTTTGAAGTTCGCTGTTTGATTATTTTTAGGTCCTTATTTTCCATTAGTTTGCTTCTCACCCCATGTTTGATAAAGAGCTGTGTGTCGGCCTCTCATTGGCTGTACTTCACTCCTCTCGCAACACAACGAGGAAGCAATAACGTCAGCACTTCCTTTGATGCCAGCACGAAGAGGATTGTGCAGAACAAAAGCGTTAACTTGTACAATCAACCTGATTCAAATGGCTACCACAGCTAATCCACATTAGCCAACACAAATATACCTATACCTCAATTTAACAGCTATTGAGGTAAGATTTGGTGTCGTAGCAGCCAGTGTTATAGTCAAGACCACCTAACCTGAGACCAAGTCAAGACCGAGGGAGGGCGAGACCAAGACCTCAAGTTTTGGAGCTCAAACTTTTCACAGATTATCTGTTTTATACTATACTGTCACATATGCTGGTGAAGATTCTCAGTCATCCAGGACTTGATAAATTCAAAAATGTTCAATACAAAAACAAGTGGACTTTATAACAAAGTCCATGCTCAATAATCCAGGTATACAATCCAACATTTTTCAGTCAGGTCATCTGGACAGTTTCTTTTTTTGTGCAGAAACGTTTCGCCTTTGATCCGGAACACTTCATCAGTCAAGGAAACACACAACACAAAACTGATTCTTCCCCCAACAGCTTACTCCAAAGTGGAACAAATCAGTTTTGTTGGTGCTAAGATGGTCTCTTTGGAACGCCCCCTCCTCCATTGCCAGTCCTCTTCCTTGTTGACAGTCGTGTCACACTGGTTGAAAACAACTGGAATTCAAAGAGCCCACACTCTCTGCTCTTTGAATTGAGAAAGCCCCTCAGATGAGGAGCGAAACGTCTTCTGTTACAAATAAAGTCCAGTTGTTTTTGTATTGAACATTTTTGAATTTGTCACAATAGTGACAGTTTTAACAAATATGTTAAAAAAGTCACTTATGAAAATATTTTTTTATAAATATGTATATAAATATATACATACTGCAATTTTAAGTTTGCTTTTGAATGAATGTATCAGCTTTT